GTGCCCCGCGCCCTCGGTCCCCCGCCCTCCTGGAGAGGGGCCGCTTCGGCCTGTGGGGGGAGGCTGCCGGGGGCCTGGACCGGGAATAAACGCAGAGTCCCCAAGGGGTCCCAGACTCCCGCCCAGGCCGCCCGCCCCCCACCGCCCTGGTGCCAGGGAGCGGGGCGGACACGGCGTCTGCGGTTTGGATTCTGTGACGCGGCTCTGCCCTGGGGACCCTGCGGCCGCCGCTTCAGGACCGGACAGGACGTGGTGGGCGCGCGTGGCCGGGGAGGGCACCCGGTTCTCGGGCCGCTGGCTCTCTGCCACCTGCCGAGCTGGAGCCCAACATGATGTCACGCGTGACGCGGCGCCGGGATGTCATCAGGAGACGGACAGCCGGGGGTGTGCGCAGTGAAGCGCACCTTTGGGGCTGGGATGAATTGTGACGTTGCTGAGAAGAGAAAACGGGACGTAGGAGAGTCAGGGACTGACCCCACACGCGGAGGAAGCACCATCCCGCCGATCACACGGGCACCCGCTCCGGCGATCACAGCGCCGTGGCCGTGGCCGTGGCCGTGGCCGTGGCCGGTGCCTTCCTAATGAGAAAGGGGACGTGTGGGATGGCGGCTGCCACGGTGACATCACAGCGTTTGTGTTGGGGAAGTCATGATGTCCACCGAGTCCCGGGGCCGTGGCACGCGTCTTGAGCCTGAGCCCGTGGTTCCCCGGGGCCTCAGGAACGGGCCTGAGCCGTTTCCCCAGCTCCGTGACCGTGACCCAGAGGAAGAGGCAGCCTCACCTGGGCCCGGACACACACACACACACACACACACAGACATACATACACAGATACACACACAGAGAGACACACACAGACATACACACACAGACACACACACACACACAGAGACACAGACACACACACACACACAGACACACACACAGACACACACACAGAGAGACACACACAGACATACACACACACACAGACACACACACAGACACTCACACACAGACATACACACAGAGATACACACACACAGACATACACACACACAGAGACACACACAGAGAGACACACACAGAGATACACACAGACACACACACAGACAGACATACACACAGACATACACACCCAGAGACACACACAGACACACACAGACACACACAGACACACACACAGACATACACACATAGATACACACACAGAGATAAACACACACAGACACACACACACACACACACAGAGACAGACACACACACACAGAGACACACAGACATACACACACAGATACACACACAGAGATAAACACACACAGAGAGACACACACATACACACACACACAGACACACACAGACATACACACAGAGATACACACACATAGACATACACACACACACAGAGACACACACACAGATACACACACACAGAGATACACACAGACACACACACAGACACACACACAGACACACACAGACACACACACACAGAGACATACACACACAGACACACACACATAGACATACACACAGAGATACACACACAGAGATACACACACATACACACAGAGATACACACATACAGACACACACAGAGACACACACACAGACATACACACATAGATACACACACAGAGATACACACACATGCACACACAGAGACACACACATACACACACAGAGACACACACACAGACACACACACAGACAGACACAGACACACACACAGAGACACGGACATACAGAGACACACAGACATACACACACATACAGAGACGCACAGGCATACACACAGATACACACACACAGACACACACACGGACACACACAGACACACAGACACACAGAGAGAGAGACACAGACATACAGAGACACACACAGACACACACACACAGAGACACACACAGAGACACACACATACAGAGACACACACACAGACATACACACAGACATACACACACATACAGAGACACACACAGAGATACACACAGAGACACACTCAGACACACAGAGAGAGACACAGACATGCGGAGACACACACAGACATACACTTACAGAGACACACAGGCATACACACACAGATACACACACACACACACCTCACTGACATATCCTTCCCACGTCCCCTTCACTGGCACGAAGGACAGTCTCCCGTCTGGTCCCCGCTGTCATCGATGTGCTGGCCCATTTGACAAGCTGAGGGCGCCGCTCTTCACAGATGATCAGACCCTTTGGCATTTCCCTAAGAGAGCAAGAAGTGCCGTCAGCACACAAGAATAAAGGGTTAAATGTTTATGTAACAATATTTGATTTGAAAACCACCATTTTATTAATATGAGCTAATTCTTCATAATATTCCTGAGAGCAGAGAGTCTTCTACAGCACCTGAGGCAAAGTGCCTGGTGAAGAGGGCCGCCATGTGTTACCGGGACAGCGTGCCCCATGTGTTCCTGGGACAGTGTGGCTCGTGTGTTACCGGGAAAGTGTTCCCCCCGTGTGTTACCGGGACAGTGGGCCCCGTGTGTTACAGGACAGCGCGCCCCGTGTGTTACCCAGACAGTGTGGCTCCGTGTGTTACCCGGACAGCGTGCCCCGTGTGTTATGGGACAGTGTGGCTCGTGTGTTACCGGGAAAGTGTTCCCCCCGTGTGTTACCCGGACAGTGTGGCCCCGTGTGTTACCCAGACAGCGTGCCCCATGTGTTACTCGGACAGCGTGCCCCGTGTGTTATGGGACAGTGTGGCTCGTGTGTTACCGGGAAAGTGTTTCCCCCGTGTGTTACCTGGACAGTGTGGCCCCGTGTGTTACCCGGACAGTGTTCCCCCCATGTGTTACCCGGACGGCGTGCCCCATGTGTTACCGGGACGGTGGGCCCCGTGTGTTATGGGACAGTATGCCCTGTGTGTTATGGGACAGTGTGGTTCGTGTGTTACCGGGAAAGTGTTCCCCCCATGTGTTACCCGGACAGCGGGCCCTGTATGTTATGGGACAGCGTGTCCCCGTGTGTTACTGGGACAGCGTGCCCCGTGTGTTACCGGGATGGCGTGCCCTGTGTGTTATGGGACAGCGTGTCCCCGTGTGTTACTGGGACAGCGGGCCCCGTGTGTTACCAGGACGGTGTGCCCGGTGTATTACTTGTGGAAAGCGTGCCCCGTGTGTTACCGGGACGGTGTGCCCCATGTGTTATGGGACAGCATGCGCCGTGTGTTATGGGACAGCGTGCCCCGTGTGTTACGGGACGGCGTGCCCCGTGTGTTACCGGGATGGTGTGCCCCAGGTACACTTACGTGTGTCTGACAAGTCAAAGCTTGTTGAAATATTGCAACTTCCTTGAGCAATTTCAGGTCACCTCAGAGTTCTCCATGACTTGGTGACCTTTCTAACTTTAAATATCTAAATTTTTTAACTGAAATAAAACTTGCTGACATGGGAGATAATTACTAATTTGGCCAATTGTCGGGATTGGGTTTCATCTACCTTAACCCCAGGCTTCTCTCCCGGGGGAGGGACCATGGGCCCAGCTCACAGATCACTGGCCAGCCGTCTGCCTCTTCCCAGACCTTCCTTTCCATGCCCCTAACGGCGCCAGGACTGACCCCACAGGACAGGACAAGGGGCAGAGGCAGCTCAGTGTGGGGGACACGCTGGTGATGATCCTTTCCTTTCCCTTTCAGCTGGGCTCCAGCGCGCCCCGCGTCCTCCTCAGCCTGAGCCAGGAGCGGCCGGCACACCCACGAGACCCGCCCCCTCTGCTGGCCGCCTCTCTGCCCAGACGGCACAGCCCCAGCCAACGCTGCTCCTCGCTGAGCCTCTGCAGCCTTGGACCCTTGGGAAGGACTCCAGCCCGTGTTCCAGAGAACCCACAGACACACAGACACACAGACACACAGACACGCCTCGGGAATGAGAGAGAGCCTCGGCAGTGGACAGGCGATGCAGTCTGACCTCCGTGACCTCTGGACGGAGTGCTGTTAGGGAAGCAGCGACTGCAGGACTGAAGAGAAGACATGAGAACTCCGAGATTCACACACACACACACACACACACACACACACAAGTCAGGCCCGCCATCTCCAATGGTAATCATATGTATGTGTCATTCTAACTCTGAACATACTAATGTTAAATAAATGTCACATTTAAATTTTATTTATTCTTTTGGTTGACAGATTCTGATTCCATATGCTTTTTTATTTCTTTTTTCCTGTTGCATATTACCATGTGCTGTTCTAATATGCAAACTGACATCTTATCCTTTGTATATTCAACATAAAAGTGACATTTTTGATGTCAGAATAGATAAGGATATAACAAAGTATTAACTGGTCATGCACTTCATTTCTTTTCAAACTCCTGATTGAATTTATTTTTGAAATACCAAGCAAGCCCACAGCAGGTGGACTGGACAGACCGCTGCTCCTGTGGGACCCTGCAGGGCAGGGCCAGGTGGGCATGTAGGTGGGGCCAGGTGGGCATGGGGCAGGGGGATTAAGGTGGGCATGGTCTCCTGTTTGTTTAAATGGATTTTTAAACCCAATACATGAGCTAGAAGTGTAGCAATGGATATAATACAAGACAAAATATATACAAAAAACAAATAGGATTCTGTCTTCTTGAAGATACGAAAGAAATCCACTGTATTCTAAGTGGTAAACACGGACTGCAAACAGCAGGCCGCTTGTGTGTTAGCCCCGTAGCTGCATGACATGATGTTGGACATGCATGTTCCTGAATGTCAGCCTGCAGCAGCACATGCCCCTTGTCTTTCCGATTGTCCTGGTCATGGCGTTGCTCCCTTTCCAGGTAGTGTCTGACGGACCAGGCCGCCATCTCCGGTCGGACTCTCTCCGGCTCCCGCCCCGGCCCCCCGCCTCCCAGCCTGACCCGCGGGACCCCTCCGGCCCCCACATGCTCTGCGATGGTGACATGAACGCGTGGGCAGCGGCTCGCGCACCGTCCGCCGCCGCTCCCGGGGTGGCCCGCTAGGGGAGCCTCGGAGAGCCGCGGCCGGCCCGGACCATGCATCTCCTGCTGAGGCTGCGGAGAAGCTTCCGCGCCCTGGTCGCGCTCCTGGCCGCCTTCTGCCTGGCCAGCATCGCCCTGTCCGCCTACTTCCTGTGCGCGGGCTCCCGGCGGGAGGTGGTGCTCCTGGAGACCAGCTCCAAGGCCGAGTGCGCGGACCCCCGCCGCCCGCCCGTCCGGGCCGCGGAGCCCCGCACGGCCCGGCCCGCGGACACAGCGCGCACGGAGCCCACGGTGCTGCTGCTGGTGGAGAGCCAGTACTCCCAGCTGGGCCAGGACATCGCCGCCATCCTGGAGTCCGGCCGCTTCGCCTACCACATGGTCATCGCGCCCGGGAAGGGCGACATCCCGCCGCTCACCGAGGGCGGCCGCGGCAAGTACGCGCTGGTGGTCTACGAGAACGTCCTCAAGTACGCGGGCATGGACGCGTGGAACCGCGAGCTGCTGGAGAAGTACTGCGTGGAGTACAGCGTGGGCATCATCGGCTTCCACCAGGCCACGGAGAACAGCCCGCCCAGCGCGCCGCTGCGGGGCCTGCCCGTCGGCCTCCTCACCAACCTGGCGCTGCGGGACTGCCTGGTGGACCCGCGTGCCCCGCTGCTGCGCCTCACCCGCGCGCCCCGTGTGCAGCAGGGCCCGCTGCCCGGCCAGGACTGGACGGCCTTCCGCTCCAACCACTCCACCTTCCAGCCCGTGCTGCTGGCCGCGCCGCAGGGCGGGGAGGGGCCCTCGGCCGCGCCCGGCGCCCCGCTCCACGCCACGGTGGTGCAGGACCTGGGGCTGCACGACGGGGTCCGGCGTGTGCTCTTCGGCAACAACCTGAGCTTCTGGCTGCACAAGCTCATCTTCGTGGACGCCGTGTCCTTCCTGTCGGGGCGGAGGCTGAGCCTGTCGCTGGACCGGTACCTGCTCGTGGACATCGACGACATCTTTGTGGGCAAGGAGGGCACACGCATGAACGTCAAGGACGTGAAGGTAAGAGCGTCAGCCGTTAGCATCGTCCTCTCTGGCCCACCAGCTCCGGCCAGGCAGAGTGTCACGTGACTATTCTAGGTTCCTCATTACCCAGAAGGTTAAGAGGCAGCAGGTTTGAAATAAACTAGTCATTCAACAAAATATTTGTAATAGTCAACTATATTAAAATAGGTTCAGCTATTGTAATATTCACGTAAAAACAGTCTAACCTGTAAAGTGGTGTTTTTTTAATTGATTTGAGCCAAACGGTCCACCATTTCCGGGAAGCAGCACCTCAGCGGATTGGGCTGGTGCTCCGGAGAAGGGCGGCTTTTCACTGTTTCATACGTGACAGCCAGAGGAGGGGGCGAAGTGGTCACAGGAGATCCATTGGTGATAGACGAGGGAGGCGGGAGAAAGCAGAGCGGGGAGAACTCGGGATCGAGGAAAGGTAAAATGACGGACACGCTTCTTCCACTCAGGTGGGTGCAGGGTGGTAACAGCCAACAGCTCAATAAAGCCAGGGCATCCGTGCTCTCTGCAGAGCGGCGCCTGAGCTGTGAGGGGCCCGGAGAAAAGGGAATTACTTAGATGTGTTATCATAGATGTCAAAAGACAGTAGCTCAGGTAAGATAAAGGCTGACCTTGTCAGGGAAGATGCCGGCCCAGGACGTGACTGCCCCCATCACTGTGTTTAGGGAAAGGGCTAAGTTCAGACCCTCCTTGGTGGTGACCTCAGGTCTCTGAGTTTGCAAGCCCGCCACGCAGGACCCCCTGGGCTGTCAGGTCAGCATGTGGCCCCTTCCATCCACCCTGGGTGCTTCTGAGGGGCAGGAACTGAAATCCTGTGTGAGCTGAACCTCCCTGCTGGCCTCCTCATGGCCCCATGGATGCCAGCCGGCCCCTTCTCCAGCCCCCACTGACCGGGGCGCCCCAGAGCTCCCCCCGTGGCTCCGGCCCTGTCCGGCTGACCATGGCGATGGAAGCACAAGAGGGAGAAGGAGCCCGACCCTTGCTAGACCCCCAGGGAGGCCTGGTGTTCATGTATGAGATGCTGTGTCCTGTGGGTGCAGAGACAAGCAGTCTGAGGTGTGTGCTGGGCAGGCCCTGAGCTCCCTCTGGGGCACCGTGTGGAGCTTGCACAGGGTGGGGCAGGGACCATCCCGCCGGTCAAACCAGGACCCTCACCGTGACCCGTTAGAGCCAGAGCCGCTGTCGCCGGCGGTGGGCGGCTCTGGGACCATCCCCTCTCGGCGTGGGAGCCAGCGTCCTCCAGCTTTTCAGTGCTTGTGCATGTCTCAGTGTTCTTTTCTCTTTCATTCTAGTTGTAGAACTTCCATTCAGCCAGCTTTCCCCATGGTTCTGGGTGGTAGACGTTTTGTGTTTTAGTTGTTGCGCAAAGCAGCAGTTTAGGTGTTTACCAACGCCTCCATCTTGGTTTCCACATCTAGTTTCTGATTTCTTCACTTCCGCTATGATCAATGTTCACTGCTATAATTAGGACAAAACAATTGATTGGTTTGTCTCATTTTGTTATTTCGGATGAAGTTGTTATATTTTGGACAGTCACTCCTATTCACAGTAAGAAAAGTCTTAATTTTCCATTCCGTGCTTTATGCAAATAGACAACAATGTTCTTGGTTCTTGGTTCTTGGTTCTTTGCCTCAGGAAATCTAATTCTGAATGAGTGTGTGTGTGTGCGCACATGCAATTTCAGAATGTTTCCTCTGTGTCAGCTACTCATCTGTTCTGAAAATAAACCATTTTTAAATATAAAAAGGTACAATTAATTTTTGCTACCTGCTAGGTTTGTATAATTTAATTCTAAGCTTTTCTTACTATTCTACTTTAAAAAAAAAAAAAAAGAGTTTCCTTTGAAGTGTAATTCCTCTTTGCACCATTCCTGCTGGATACAAGGGAATTGTGTTATTGCCCTCAGTGCTTATTCTTGGACTTGATTTGAATGGCGAAGCAACTCCAATAACACCACTGCAAAGGAAATGCAATGCATTTGACAAATTCTCGTATGAGCAGCGGGTGACTGGTTGTGCTGCTTTTTTTCAACCCAAAGGAATGCAAGCTTCCAATTACTGTGAACTCCAGTTTCTGAGGAGATGCTGCCCAGAAAACCCCAAATAAAAGCAATCCAAAGAGGACCACACCAACACATCATAATTAAAATGCCAAGAGCAAAAGACAAAGAGAGAATATTAAAATAAGCAAGAGAAAAACAGTTACCTACAAGGGAGCACCCATATGACTGTCAGCTGATTTCGCTACAGAAACTATGCAGGCCAGATGGGAGTGGCAAGAAATATTCAAAGTGATGAACAGCAATAAGCTACAACCAAGATTACTCTACTCAGCAAAGTTATCATTCAGAATTGAAGGGCAGAGAAAGCCTCACAGATCAGAAAAAGCTAATGGAGTTCATCACCCCCAAACCAGGATTATACAAGGGAGCAGAACAGGGAATAATGACAACTTGCAGGTTTCGAGTGGGAACATTAGGCAAAAAGGCAGGCACAGTAGGACCCGCGACCCGTTTAAACAACATCGATGTAAGTCCCCACACTTCTTAAACAGAGACCGATAAGCAACTGTTTTCAGAAACAAAAATGATTGGAGTTGAAATTTTTGCAAGATATTCTACAGTTTAGTGGATTGACCTCAGTTGGGCAATTTGTGAATGAGAAGTGAAATAGGAAGGATGCCACAGTAGTGAGTAGGATTGAGGTGTTGAGAGAACATTTTTAATAGCAGAACTATAGGTATGAAAGCAGCAATAATAAAAAATCATTATTTACTACTTCTCTGTGCCAAGCATGATGCTCGATGTCCTACAGATTTTAACTCAAATCCTCAGAACATCTCATCACAGGAGCAGCCAGCATTTGGTTTCACAAGCAGCACCAGAGAGGCCCTGAGGGCAGACATTCTTCCCCAGGCCCTGTGACCAGCAGGGGGCAGCGCTGTGACCTGAACCCCAAGATCTGGCTTCAGAGGTGTAACTCCTACTCAGGGCTCCCTGCCTCTCAGGGTGACCTTTCCATCTTGAACTTCTCCATTAATCACTGAACTTGCAGGTGGTTATATTTTTCTCTTTATGTTGTAACCTGAACAAATCCCTGTAATTTAACTGTCCTCCTTACAAATGTTTCTAGTAAATGGAAATGTAAGGTGGAAATCATAATTCATAATTTGTTGTATGGCCAAACTCATCTAATATCTTTTTTAAAATATATTTTTATTGATTTTAGAGAGGAAGGGAGAGGGAGAGACAGATAGAAACAACAATGATGAGAATCTTTGATTGGCTGTCTCCTGAAAGGCCCCTGCTGGGGATCGAGCCCACAACCTGGGCATGTGTCCTTGAGCAAACCCAGGACCCTTCAATCCACAGACTAATGCTATGTCCACTAAGCCAAACCAGCTGGGGTGCCTTTTTAGTTTTTAAGGTAATACAGTGAAGCTTACATGCCAAAGTAGATAATTGTTTACTCTATCCAACTCATCCATGACGAGCGTAGACTTTTGGTAAACCCTAACAACATGCACACTATGAATGCATCCTAGGACATGTTTGTACATTTAATCACAGTCATAAAAATGGTTTTTTCCAAAGGCCTGAGAATGTGTCTCCATACAGCCGGTCTGCCATGCAATGCTGGAAGGGAATCTTTTCAGTAACGTCCTTGAGGGAAACCTCAAGTCTGTTATCGGATGCTGCTTAGGTGTAACTATTCATGGTACGCTATTATGGGCAATATTTTTACTCTAGTGACTAAGCCATCCTATATAATAAAGAGCTAATATGCTAATTAGACTGGGTAGTGGAAGAACCTTCCAGATCGATCTTCCGGAATGACCTTCTGGAACAACCAGTGGGGGGCAGGGCTGAGGGCCAAGCCCCTTGCACGAATTTCGTGTATCGGAGCTCTAGTAGATGAATAAAAGTCTTCTTATAAGCACTGGATATAAATAGAGAATCTAAGAAATGAGTCTCAAAAAACATTTTAATGAATTATGTTAGTTGAAGTTATAGGAATGGTTTTAATTCCTATAACTTTATTTGAAAATTTAATTTTTCGAATTTTACATTTTGTTTACTCCGTTGATAATTGCAAATTAGATTTTTAAATGTTTTTTATTTATTTTAGACAGAGAGGAATGGAGAGGGAGACCGAAACATCAGTAAAAGAGAAACATCAATCGGCTACCTCCCGAATGCCTCCTAATGGGGAGCAAGCCCACAACTGGGCATGCGCCCTGACCAGGAATCGAACGGTGATCTCCTGGTTTATAGGTCATCACTCAACCACTGAGCCACACCAGCTGGGCATCATGTTTCTATTGGATCTGAAATATGCATATGCTTTTTAAAGATTATACTTGAAATAACACACAGAAGTAGGCATTACCTATGAGTGTGTGCAGCAGAGAATTTGTATGCTTTCTAGAAAAAGTCTGATTCCAGTTTAGAAAAATACTCCCCTAGATTAGTATATCAAATCACAAAGACAGTGACTCAATCCAGCTGCTACTGTCCACTGCCTGTGCACTCAGTGACCTCATGTGTGGGCGGGTGGCCCAGGGATGTCCTGCCTCACGTGTACTAGTATGTAGGATGTTGTGTCTTTATTTGGTTCTTCTGTGATTCTTACAGTGAACATAAACCTGTCAGGTTTTACCTTACCAGTAAATCATGGTTTAAGTATGCAGAAGATTATTTATTATTAAACACAAATGTTTTGAACTTTAATTATATTTGTATTTGTTTGCTTTTAAGGAACTCAGGGTGACTTATTAGCCTTTGGAGAAATTCACTGAGTGACAGGTATAAAGATTCAGTAGACATAAGAGTCTTTACTAAAAACCAATATGATTAGGACCTGTTAGGTTTCTAGATCTGATAAAACCTGCCTGTGGGCAGGTAGAATTCAGATGCTTAGACAGACATCCCTTCCTGGAGGAAGGATGTGGGGAGAGGAGATCCAGGGGCTGATGAAGGAGATGGGACG